GAATTTTCAAACTTATAAATCACAGACTTTGAGCATGCATGTTCTTAAATAATGCCTAGAAATGCATGTTCTTAAAAGTCCCCCAAGCGTTTTGATGCAGCTAAAGTTGGAGAACCAGTCCTGGAAAGAGCACAGCATACAGCAAGGTTAGAGTCCATCCTCAAACTGCTGTGTGCCAGCCCTGGCTCTGCGGACCTTGACCAAGTGATTTAATTCTTGAAACCTCAGTCTTCATCTGGAAAACAGGCAGTAACAATTAAGTTGCTGGGACCATTTTGTGAATGTATTTTGCCTGTTACACACTTAATATAGTGTCTACTGATGGAAAATACTCCACAAACAAAAGTTGTCATTGCTTTTATTCTTTTGGAAACACTAGGACTGGAACAAAGTATACACTCAATAAATGAAATGAACAAAGAAAATAATGAATGAATGTCAGGACTCTAGATGGTTAGCTTGTGTTGAGAAGGAAGATGCTAATGGCACTATATAACTAGACCTCTACATTTTAGGGAATGATTTATTCTCTGAGATCTTATGAACAGCAAATGCATTTAACAAATAGAAAAGGTAGGAAGAGAGGGAGGAAAGAGAAAAGAAAAGAGAAGGAATTGAAAGGGTAATTTTTCTGCATCTCATATTACATGCAGACTGTGGCTCAGAGCATTTATTTCTCCAAGTATCTACCCTAGGACTGTGAAATCCATGATGCCTTTAGGGACTTCTTTCTCTTTTCCTCTACCCTTCTCCCTTCAGCTGAGGGCAACTTGTTCCTGATGAAGCGTTACTTTTTGTTCCCCCTAATTCTGATACTTGTTGGGGTGGAGTGCTCAAATGGGGAAATTGGCGAGGTGTTCTGAGAGTGCCAGATAATAGGATGAAGGAGGTGGGGCCCAGGGGCTCTTGAGGGAGCTCCGAGGATACCTGACTGTGGGATCACAGGAAGCATCTGCTCATGGGATTATAGGGGTGTCTGCTTATGGGATCATAGAGGGTGTTTGATCATGAAATCACATGGGGTGGGTGTCTGATTATGACTTCAGAAAACAAAGTCACAACAGCCACCCCAGGTATGAAGTTAGATGAGAAGAGGCAAGGAGATCGCTAGTTGGGAATCTCTGCAAAACCCAGCTGAATCTGATAGTTCTACTGCCTGCACTTTGCCGGGAGAAAAATCTGCAGTGGCTTTGACAAATTGAGACAGGACTTTTTGCCTTGATGTGAAGCCATGAATCAACTACCAAACACAAAATAAGAGTAAGGGAGACTATGTGTTCAGCCTTCACGCCAACACTGAATTTTCTCTGCTGGACGTGACTTTATTTTGAGAGCAGAAGACAGTGATAGTGACAGGAGGCAGTCAAATGCCTGGGCAAATAGGGGCGGGTCCTAGTGAAACCCCCAGCCGAAGACTGTTACAAAGTCTGAAAGTCAAACTACCAGTTAAATCCTCAGACTAGATTGAGAACTTGTCTTCCCATTTGATGTGCTTTCCTCTGACTGGTCCCCACCCTTCACCTATTTTACATATACCTACTCTTCCCTAATTGGTTTTCCTACACTGTCATGCCCACATTTAAGTGGTGTCTTCACTTTAACCTTTTTTGCATACTCACAAAACAATCAGCACATACCCCGCTTCTGAGTCCATAAAATGCCCTGGACCCAGCCACATGTGGAACTTTCTTACCTTTGGATTGGGGTACTACCCCCATGTCCCCTCTCAGCTGAAAACTGTTTTATCACTCAATAAAATTCTTTACCACCCTCCTCAACCTTCAATGTCCAGCCTTCAATATCCTCATTCTTCTTGGATGTGATACAAGAACTCCAGAACCACCGAACGCAGGTACAAGTTGTAACACAGGTGAGCTGGGGCATGCCAGCATAGCCAAGCAGGGCTCATGTGGGGCATCGCCAGCCAGAAGTCCCCGGCTTGCAAAGTGACCAAGAAGAAAAATCCTACATCAAAAGCAGTGGCAGCTGCAGAATGTTAAAAGGTGCATGTCAAAACAAGTTTAGATGAGCATTTCTTCATTTTTCTTACCATATCAGGCCCACAGGAGAAGTCAAAAAACAACAAAAAAAAATAATCTATATGTATTGTGAGGGAAAGACATTTCTCAAAAGTCAGAAGCATAGTGCTCTGAAGGCTCACCCCAAGACTTGAGGCAACAGAGCCCCCTGCTTTTAATGACATATTTGCACCTGGTTCTTTGTGGCTATGACCCATAACCGCCATTCCACCTTCCCCAGCCCTGCCCTGAGTCCAGTTTCTGCAAATAAAGCACCCCAAAAGCCACGGCCTCTTCTAATGAGACTTCCTTCATAAAAAATGCAACTGTGAGTCAAGACATAAACTCCCTCCAAGTTAGGTTAATTGTAACCCCACATAGTAGACACAGGATGTTGTTTATCCTCAGTAGAAGGATGTCTTAACTAAATTCCACCCCTCTGGTCACCACAAATTTTGAGCATCTGAAACTATTTGATCAAACAACTCTTCTCCATGAAAGAGATTTCTGCTCTTCTTCCCTGAAAGTTATTTGTCCTCACCTGGCCCCTGTAAGCAATTTCCATCCTTTTGCCCCTACCCCCACCCCTATCGAAGACCACCTTCCCGCTAGAAATGGAGCTCCAATCAACAGCGTTTGCATCCCTAGTGCTGAGAATGTTGACAGTGCTCAGCCAGTGGCTGGTCGGGTGGCTGATCCTTAGAGCATAAATCACTTCTACGGAATGAAAACCCTTTTCTTCTTTCTGAAGTCATTTTCATTCTTGCCACCAACCCTCCTAATTCTGGTCTTTACTAGTCTCTATGCAGAATCATCAGGTGTGGGCTATATAGAAAATCACTCCTTGCTAACCCACCAATGCTATCAGACACAGAGTAAGTGCAGGGGGACCAGAAGGGGGAGTGACAAATTTCTCTTCTAACAGTTATTATCCAACAACAAGGAAGTGAATACTCTGAAGCCAACATAAATAAATGAATAAATACATAAATAAGTAACAAGTACCATGCTTAGCTTAGAGAAATTAAGCCCTTTATGACAAAAATCCTTTACCAGAAAGCCTTGCATAATATATTTGTGCTTCCCTTTGCTCTTCTTCTCATTTTATTAATATAAATGACCAAAGGCAGCAGAGAGGAGATATCATTCACTGTACTAAAGTAGGAATCTAGTGAGAAATTCATTTCCAAAAGCTCTTAACTTATATCCAGAACATATTCACAGGCCAGGCCTGATGGCTCATGCCTCTAATCCCAGCACCTTAGGAAGTTGAGAAGGGAGGATCCCTTGAGGCCAGGAATTTGAGACCAGCCTGGGCTACATTAGAGAGACACCATCTCTACAAAAAAATTTTAAAAATTAGCTGAGCATGGTGGCATGTGCCTGTAATCTCAGCTACTTAGGAGGCTGAGGTGGGAGGATCGTTTGAGCCCAGGAGTTCAAGGCTACAGTGAGCTGTGATTGTGCCACTGCACTCCAGCCCAGGCAACAAAGCAAGACCCTGTCTCTTAAAAAAATTATATTTGATTATCTGACAAGGATGACTCAATAATTGTACTCAAGCAGTAGGGCTAACTTGTGAGGGATGGGATCAATGTCGCCAAGGTCTTCTCCCTTCTCACAGTCTTTTAGGGAGTTACTATTTAACATCTCTTGTGGAAATGCAGTTATAACTGAGGAATACATAGGTGCTCTGTAAATGGAATGTTACCAGGTCAACCATAAGAACTCCCATCTCTGAGAAAATAAAATCCTCTGTGCCCTCATTGTGTCACTGTTATTGGCTGAAACAATAAAAGTAAAATAGTAATCGTGGCTGTGTGGACAGTGATTAAAAAAAGGCTCATCAGTGAAACAAATATGTGATTGAATGTTGGCTCCACTTATCAGAGCCTCAGTTTTCTTAGCTGGAAACTGGGATAATACATTATTTTCCTCAAAGGGTCACTGTGATGATAAAAGAACGCATTGTGGCCCAGCGTGGTGGTGCACATCTGCAATGGCAGCTACTCAGGAGGCTGAGGCAGGAGGATCACTTGAGCCCAGGGGTTCGAGACCAGTCTGGGAAACATAGCAAGAGCCTGTCTCTTGAAACAAAAAACATACACATAGACACAACGATGGGAAAAACAAACACTGGGGATTCTAAAAAGAGGTAGGAAAAGAGAGGGGCAAGGGTTGAAAAACTACCTATCGGGTATTATGTTCACTGTGTGGGTGATGGGATCAATAGAAGCCCAAACCTCACATTGTACAATATACCCATGTAACAAATCTGCATACATACCTTGTGAATCTAAAATAGAAAATAAAATAATAAAGGTTTTTCAAATAATAACAATAAATATTGTAAATAATAAAGAATACACTGTACACCTAGCACAATTCCTGACACCTAGTGAGTATTTATACATGATTTACTACTTTTGCAGTTTTACAAAGAACTTGCACTTACACTGTTCTAGTTGGGAGACAAATGAGGAAATTATTTTACAAATTAAAATAAAAATGAAATCAGATAGAAGAGCTGACCTACATTTGATTGCACAGGTATCACATGAAACAGGTGAGGTAGATATTATATTTTTGCAATTTGACAAATGAGAAACCAAGTTAGGAAGGGAGGTTTGCTAAGGGAGACACAGCTGGTTAGGGAGCAGCGCAGCACCTTCAGCCAGGCCTGCAGGCTCTTAATCTCATTCTCCTTCCACTAAACCAGCCAACACCTCTGAAAGAAGAAACAAACTCTTCGTTAAACCACATGGAATCAAATATTTTCATTAGTTACCCATGCTCTAAAAATGTTAAAAAATTAACTGTTTTCAATCTGCAAAAGGGTGCTTCCAGCAAATCATTTCAAGGGCAGCCAACCTTCCACAACTTTTTAAAGGACAATTTATAAACAAAGGCAAGGAAAGATAAGCTATCTCATAAAAATGTGTTACGCAAGGTTTCACCTAATCTCTGGCTATCACTTTGCAGACCCTGAAGTTGTGTTGGAGGCGTGGGAGAGGTGTGCACAGACGGTGGCGTGCATTCAGGTGGCCACTTGCTCAGAAGCCACCTGGGTTGGAGGTGCAGCCTGTCCCCAGGCAGGACCCCTGGGGACAGACTACCCACTCAGGCGCCCCCGATAACCATTATCAGAGGTGCGTGATTCAGTGGTGGGTTTTCACTGTGGCTATCAATTTGACTCAGACTGATTCTTTTCCAAAACGTGCCTTTAAATATTCTTCCCTGTTTCTACCCTCTTTCTGTCTTTTATTTTCCTTCCTAGATGAAAAAAATCAGAATTATTTGTAAACACAATGAAGGGAGATACAAGTCACTTTAAGAAAAATAATTATTATCTCTCTTAGGGAAAAATGCACAACAGTATAGAATCTCTCAAAATCATTTTTCCATGCTGGTACTAATCATTATTCTCTTCATATTCCCTTGTCTCCTGTTGCAGCCTGTGGTGGTGTGTTCTGTTTCTTTTCTGGAATCATCAAGAGTCCTGCCTATTCGTACTCAGACTACCCAAACAATATGCACTGTCTGTATACCATCACCATTAGTGACGACAAAGTTATCAAGCTCAAGTACGTAAGACAAATTGGCTTTCTTAAGAAAATCCTCTCAGCATTATTTACAGAAGAGCCATTCCTTTATTGTTGGAGAGCACTGATTCTCATTGGCAGTCTGGACGGAAATCTACACAGAGGAGTGAGGTTCCTAGATGATAGTTCAGCCTGGGAAATGACACTCCCCCTCTCCACACAAGCCTGTAGTAACTAAGGGTGAAAAACAAGCACTTACCAGTTAAAACAGTCATTGTAGTTTCCCAGCACTTGTGAAGGAGCATCATAGAATGGATTGTCAAGGTATAAACCCCTCTTGAAATCAAAGCAGAGAGGAAGGGCAAGAGAAAGCGGTTGCCATTTGTTGAATATTTATCATACACAAAGAACTTTGATTCACACTTGCAATAATTGTCTCATTTTATTCTTAAAACAGTCATATGAGGTGTATATATAGATTATAGATTGGGAATTGTATAGATTATTCTGATTTCACTGATGAGGAAACTGAGGCTCAGAAGGGTCCAATTGCTTTCCGAAAGTAACACACACATAAAGAGTCAAAATCTGAATTCATGCCAGGCTTCCTCCGAACACCAGGTCCTCAGTGTTTACCGAAACTGTCCTCAAATGACACATTTTCTTCTTTTTTATTATTTATTTATTTATTTCTTTTGAGACAAAGTCTCACTTTGTGACCCAGGCTGGAGTGCATGTTAGTCAGGCTAACATGTCAAGTGATCCTGACCTCAAGTGATCTGCCCGCCTCAGCCTCCCAAAGTGCTAGGATTATAAGCGTGAGCCACCACGCCAGGCCTCCAAGGATACATTTTCTAACTACTTAAGAAATCTATTTTTATTCCTGTATCAGACCACCTCTAAACTGATGCTATAAGAGATGACTTGCGTCCTTGGTCAATTTTCTCCCCAGTCTTACCTATTCCCAACAAGACTGATGAGGGCAATGCAACCTCCCATTCTCCAGAATGATAAAGTTCAAGACTGTTTTCACCTAACAGCCTGTTTCAGTGGTGTACGGCATGTGGTGGGAAACTCTGAAAGGTAATATAGTTCATGGCCATATAGGACTTTGCATATAGAAGCCTGATGGGCTAAGACCACACCTACCTACCTCCCCTCTATTTGTCTGTTATCATTTTCTGCCCTAAAGATCCTGTACTCCCTGCAGTTTACTTCCAAAGACCTCATGTATCAGTTGGCTCTCAAACTGAAAGACATCTCTCATCAAGCCTGATTTGGTTCCTGTATCAGGCAGTTAAGTGTTCTATAGGCTGGACCTCAAAGAAAACTGCAGCTCCCACCTGGACTATTTGTAGGAAAACAGAGCGTCCTTTAGGTCTTGGCGACAAAAGAACAAAAACTGTCAGATGGCCAGGAGCAGGAGGCCTGTGAAGTACGCCTGCCTAGGCGTGGAAGCGTAACGGTGAGCTGTTTGCTGCTGTGACTCACTATCCATTTCTTATATGTGTAGGATTATTGCCTTGTTCTGTTCAGATTGCTTTAACAAAATACCATAAACTGGTCTAGAATTTTTATGATTTCAAGTCTCATATTTAAGTCTTTAGTCCATCTTGAGTTAATTTTTGTATATGGTGAGATATAGGAATCATATTTCATTCTTCTACATGTTCCCCTGGGTAATATAAGCCAAACACAAATCCCGCAGCTACTAGTCTATGTGGCTCTCTCCTGCAAGAACCACCTCCTAGCTGGAAGCCAATAGGCACAGCCTATTACAACATCTGCTGGCAAAATAACACAACATTTGGGAAGGAGAAAACTTTTGTCTTATCTCAGCTAACACCATACCCATATCACCCCAGCTAATTAGAAGGTGTTGAGTGTGTTCACAAACCCAGTACATTGCTAGTACAGTTCGCATTTGAGGAAATCACCCCGCTAAGCCTATTTACAACCGAGTAAATCTTACAGAGTCTATATCACTCTCTTGCCACCCCCATCAGAGGTTGTGCTTGCATTTGCTGCTGGGAGACCAGAGGACAGTTAGGCCCACTCAACATTGCCCTCCTTTGTAGCAAAGAGTGGAACCCAAACACTGTACATCCCTCAGACCTTCCCACAGCCCGAGGCATCAGAGATTTCCAGTTGGCTGACAAAGATGTCAATCATCAATAATCCTCAGAAGGAAGAGCCAATATTACAGGTGAATAATCATAGGCCAAATGGACTGTTAAAGAGAGAGCAATGGAGCTTATTGGTCAATTCATAAGAAGAATCTACAACTCACAAACATGCGCGCGCGCACACACACACACACACACACACACACACAAATAAAGTAAAAAGAAGCTGGCAGGGGTAAAACCCTGAGAGACTTAGTAATCCATGGAAAGGACACGTAGGAGTGTTCTTAGCCTCTCTACCCAATTTGGCAGGCTACTGGGATCTGAAGTCAAGGTGACCTTCTTTACCTTCATGAGCACAAGTACTGGAGTGGGCTGTGGTTTTGAGACTTCTCAAGAACATTACCTTGTTCACACAAGTTCCCTTTCCTTTTCCTTTGGATCTGAGCTCTTTTTAACTGTTTTAGTAGAATTCACTAGTGAAGTAGTCTTGAGCTGGAACTTTGTTTTTGGTGGGGGTTAGTTCTTGATTACTAATTCAAATACTTTACTTATTGTAGGTGTATTCACACTTTCAGTCTATGAGAACTTTATTCGATTAGTCCCTTAGCCTCGGCATATGCATTACCCCTACTCTTCTTTATCCAATATAGGCAGTTAATGCCTCCCGTTTTTGTATTAATAATTGCCATTTCTCTTCACTTTGTATTTTCCTATTTATTCCTGAACTTATTCCTTAGAATAAGTTGCCTGTTGCCTCCCATCTGGATTACAAGTTTGTTAGACCTGTCTTGTCTTTGTGAACTCATTATCCTTCACTATATTTCATTCTTGGTTTTGTTGACATATTTGTTTTACACATTTCAGCTTTGTAATGAATACAAAGCTTTGTAATGAATAGGTGATACTGAGTCTTTGTAAATTTTCGACAGAAGAAAATTGCAAACTCTTGATTCAAGAGTGTAATACTTTTCATGATATGGCCCTAATTTACCTATATTTACAAACTAAAACTGTGTTCACTTACAAATAATAAAAAAAATCATAAAAATGAATGTGTTAGGCTGTTATTGAATTGCTACAAAGAAATATCTGAGGTCAGACAACTTGTAAGAAAATGAGGCCCAATTGGCTCACAGTTTTGCAGGCTGTACAAGCATGATGCTGGCATCTGCTCAGCTTCTGCAGAGTCCTCAGGGAGTATTTGCTCATAGCAGAAGGCAAAGCAGGAACAGACACATCATATGGCAAAAGGAGAAGCAAGTTGGAGAAACAGTTTTAATCAACCAGATCTTATGTGAACTCACTTATCATCAGGATAGCATCAAGGGAAATAGTGTTCATGAGAAACCTACCCCCATGATCCAATCACCTCTCACCAGGTCCCACCTACAACACTGGGGATTAAGTTTCAACAAAAGATTTGAGAGAGATAAATATTTATTATCCAAACTATATCAATAGCTTAATCAAATAGTTGGCTTATATATCTCAAATACAATAAGTCTTATGGTGGGCTAGAATAGAAATAATATGGTGGCCCTTAAGCATGAGAAAGTCAAGTGCCTTCTTTCTTTTTGTTTACCATGTTTAGTATAGAAGTCTTCATTACTATGATCAAATGCTCATGTCAAAGATGATGTCAATCCTACCTCCCCTTTCACATTCATGTTTTGAATAATAAGGAGAAAATAGAGGATTCATATTCTGGTTTGAATGAATCCTCTACAGTTCATGTGCTAAAAGTCAATGCCCAATGCAATAGTGTTGGTGGGTGCAGCCTAACAAAACATGACTACGTCATCAGTGTTCTGCCCTCGTAAATATACTCATGTTGTTATTGCAAGAGTGGGGTAGTTCTTGACAGCTTGTTATAAATATGAGTGTGCCCCCACCCCTTGCTCTTACTCTTACCCTTTCTTGCCCTTCTACTTTTTGCCATGCGACGAAGTAGCAAGAAGGCCATTGCCAGAAGCAACTGCCATGCTCTTGGACTTCCCAGCCTTCAGAATCATCAGAAATAAATTTCTTTTCTTTATAAATTACCAAGTCTATAGTATTATGTTATATAGCACAAATTGAACTAAGACAGGGCATCAGTATACTTCTGCTTTTATTTCTGGGGAAAGAAATACTCTGTGTGACTAACCTAAGCAGCAAATGATTTCATGAATGGAACTTGTACGTCTGTCAGGAAATAAAGTTTGAGTTAACTGATCTGCAGTTTCTGCCATACCATACAATTGCTTTTTCTAATACTGTACTGTCCAGTATCTCTTTTGGCTAACTTTATAACATAGTATGTTTTTTAAAATTTAGTGTATTTAGATATACTGGCACATAATTTGTCAGATAATTGCATGAAATCATTTCTAGGAAAAGGACAACCAACAGTCAGAATTCACTATTGAAAACTTGGTTGGCACTGTAGCTGATCTATTTATTGCTGGAACAGAGACAACAAGCACCACTCTGAGATATGGACTCCTGCTCCTGCTGAAGCACCCAGAGGTCACAGGTAGGACCACAGATGATGAACAAAGTGAATTTTAGAACAATGCTGAGAAGATGGTACCAGTGTCCTCCACCTTGTTTCTCTCTGAGAAGCTTCATTCTTTAAATTTCTGTGTCATCAGCTGGTATCTGTCTAAATTTCATGACATGATTAAAAAGAACATCTTTGCACAATGGAGGAGGATGACTGAGATCAGTAAAAGCAATATGGCAGTAGCAAAATAAATAAAGCCCTGATGAAGTATCTAGATTTCAGCAGAGGTAATTTGTGGTAGGGAGAACCAGTATAAGTTGGTCTAGCAGTGAATGTTGGTTTTATTATGAAAAGTCCACTTTGAACAGTAGGTTCATTCTTGAAGGTATCTTTTCTCGTTTTGAAAATTCCATGTTCTAATGCTGGGGTAGGGAGATGAAAACAATCTTTATTGAAGCATAAATGGAAATTCTAGAATTGTACTGAGGCATCCTGAGATAAATTCCAGTCTGGGAAGTAATCTAAAAGTTAGGCTCCTAAGAAAGGTATTTCCATTTAAGCAGAGGCCATACCTAAAGGAATTTTATTTTTCCAAAAGTGTGTTTCATAAAACTGCTGTTTGACCAAATAGGAATATTTGGAAGGGGGGTTAATAATTGCATCTTTCACATACAACTTTTCTTTAGAATTTATAATTTACCTTTAGAGTAAACTCTACATTTCCTTAGAATTCACATTTAAATAGTTCGTTTTGCAGCAGATAACATACCTTTTTTCCTGTGTCAGGATCCCACTGAAATTTCAGTAACTAAATTACAAACTAAAATTAGCCTGTTGAAGTAAAAAGAGAGGAGAATAGAAAACAGCCAATAAAAACACAGAGAGACAACGAAGGGCTGACAATTGACACGGCATAGAGGATGGAGTTGTAACGTAAGTATCAGCAGAGCAAGATTTATCAAGAGGAGAAGCTAATCTGTGTCACTATGATTCTCATAAGGGTCAGTATTTGGAGGCACCAAGAGCCAAAGAAGGTAGGGAATGAGACTGAAAAGGGAGGCTCTCCTGCCCAGGTTTCCTCCATGACTCCTTTTATCAGGTACCTGATTTTTTCCCACTGGAAAAGGGAAGCACATTCTCCAGAGAAACTGAGCCTGTACTCGGGGACACTTTACAGGGCCAGGAAAGTGTGAGGTGTGAAGCCAGAAAAAAAAGGTTTGGGAAATATCTATTTCTCAGATTCAAAGACTCAGCACTTTTCTTCATCTTGCTTCCTGACATTCAGCAGCTAGATATTCTCCAGAGAAGAAACACATCTAGAGAAAAGACCTCCGTATTTTGCCATCTTAATAGAAAGTTATCTACAAGTGTTCAGCAGAGTGAATGAAATGAAAACATCCATCACAGGACACAAAGTCATGGAATTTCAGAGCACCAGAAGTAAATGGAAAATTAAAATCTTTCAGAGAGTTATATCAAGTCATATATAAAATACCAGCATTCAGACAGCATCAGAATTCTCAAGTATATTATCTTGTGTATTCATAGAAAAAAAGTATTTGGGAATTACATGCTTGTTACAAATTTCACCCTCTATACTAACTTTCTCCAATACTGGGGATTGTGCTCTATCTCACATCTGAAACCAAGTCAGAAGAAATTAAGGGTGCCAGGAATCAGGAGACCCCATGTAAGAGAATGAGAGCATCAGAGAGGCTGCTGGGCTCCTAGGAAACAACCACTTCAGAAGGGAACAGGTAAATAATACACGTAGAGGAGACTTCAAGAACCAAAGAGATGTGATTGATAGTCTGAGATTTCCCTATAATTGAGAAATTATTACTAGGAGTTTCAAACATGT